GAATCTGCACTATCCGATGAAAGCTAGCACGTCGATGTTTCGCATCGGGATGTATTTAACCGATGTAACTTGGAAGTTATTCGATTCCGAAGGAATTCGCGTGGATATCTCGGAATAAATCAGTCGATGCCGGGGTGCTTTCCACGACCGAGGTTAAACAGGCCTCGGTACTGCATTCTCATACGGAACCCGGCGATTTCTGACCTACCCACCGCACCGCGCCGCCGCGGAACTCGATATCGGCGATCGAGATCTATCGTGTCCTGTCGGGCGGGCGAGCGTTAAACACACGGTGAACTTCGGGAGAGGGAGTGAGAGAGAGTCACCAGCCAACGAGTCTTCGACGTGGGGAGTCCACGCCGAGAGCGGTCAGAGGATTTCTGAGCGAGCGCACAGTGGTAGCTGATGTATTTTGACGTGCCCGATGAGAGAGGCCGCTCTCTCTGTTGACTGCATTATCTAATGGACCACTCTCTCCGCCTTCGTTCCCCTTCTGTCTCTCTGTCATTCTCTCTCTCTCTCTCTTTCTCTCTCTCTCTCTCTCTCTCTCTCGTCGTCCATCTCTCACTCCCGTGCTCCCTTCGTCGCGGTCTTCCTGCCCGATGCACGACGACTCGGCGTTTCAGCTATCTGTGATCTACCGCATCGGGAGATGCGACCGAATCGCATGCATCTCGGATCTGGTTTCATAATCGACCGCGAATTTCTTCCCCTTTTCTGTTACGCGCCTTATGCAATCACCGATGTCATCGTGATGCATGTATGCAGTAGTCGGTTTAATCCCGCGTTTAATTTACCGGAAGATCCAAACAAAAAATATTTTTGGGACTCTTAGAAACATATGGATAAATCTTTCGGTGATCTAAACTATTCTAACTAAAAGCACGAATGTGAAAACGTTGAATGACATACGTGTCGTACTTCAAAGTATGCAATTACACGCGCTTGAGGATAATTGAGATCGCGCGAGATACAAGAAGAAGATAGTTGCGGTTGATAACGATCGAATACCGCGATGTTTTTCCACGACGTTCGTAGGAATGCAAGAAAGAAGACTACCGCGTTGAAATCCTGAGACGATATTGCTCCGATAGTTACCGGGTTACCAGCGCAGAGCTCCGAGCGCGCTCGATTTGGTCGGGAAAGAAGTTACGCCGCAGTTACATCCAAGGCGAGGTAACGCGCAAAAAGCCCGAGTATCTCCGATGAGTACCGAGAGGAAGAAGAAAGGAGGGAGAGAGAAAGAGACAAGCCATGGAACGGCGGAGTTTTTCGCGACCGGCAAAGTATTGTCCGTATCGTCGTAGCCTCGTGTCTCGTCGGGACTCGAGAGCGAGATCGTGCGACCGTGACTCTAGAATCATCCCTAAGACCTTAGACCCCCGCGCAACAACGTCCGCGCCCAGCCATCACCAACACCGTTCGGCGACCCGTGCAATCTCTCTCTCTCTCTGGTATCCGCTAGCATCAAATTACCAGTTCCTCCTCGATCTACGACCCGCTGTCGTCGTCGTCTCGATTGGTACCCTTCGAGGGACGCACCGTGTCGGTGTTTTCTGTCGAGTTTGCGCGGCGGTCACGGACGAACTCGATTAGACACAACGTTCCCTGTCGCCGAAGCAGCAGCGCGAATTCGGTATTCACGATGGATGCCCCTTCGTGCCACGATGGCGGCCCCCTCCCCTCAAAAAAAGAAAAAATATGTAACGCGTATCCGCATGTAAAAAAATATTCTCGGCTGGAGACTGTGTTTAAGAAAAATCGAAACAATGTAGTCAACCGCATAAAGGGATCCTGTCTGAGTTTACAATCATGGGGATCGGCGCGAGGCCCTCACGCGATTGCCTAACAAAGTATCACGGAAGAAAAAAGACTCGTCCTTCGTCGCGAGCCAGCAGAAACGCAGATCTGGCGGATACACTCCTCGTCCTGGTCTGGCACCGCGGACGACGGTCGTTCGGATCCTTGGAGCGAGCAGCCCCATTCGGGGCAATTCTTTGCCGTCTCGCGTGTATCCTTAGTATGCAACGTATGCAGTCGGTTGTTACCGAAGGAGTGGTTTGCTGAGCGGCCAATGGCGAGTGCTCGAGCTAATTCTAGGGTGCCGCCGCCGCGCCATCTTTGCATCATAATGCTGTCCCCCCGTGCCCCGGCGCTCACTCGCTCTCTCTCCCCCCGTTTCCTCTTCACCGCCCCTCCCGTCACTGCGAGAAGTCTGCCCCCTTCTTCCTCCCTGCCGTTGCCGTCCCGCAACCTCTTTCCCCTGCCCTCCTCGTCCTCCTGTCCGCCCCCACCCTCTCCCACTTTCTCTCCACCCTTGTTTCGTTTCGCGTAGGAGAGAAAGAGCGAAAGAGAGGGCGAAGAAGACGAAACGTCAGGTGAAAGAGAAAGAGAGAGAGAAGAAAGAGAGAAAGAGCGAAAGAAAAGGAACGAAGAGAAACGTCTCGGAGGCGCGTTATGCCAAAGTGGATAAGGAGAAGAGTGCACGAGAGGGAAACGGAGAGGTGTATAGGCAGGGAGGAAAAGGAGGGGCACACGGCCATGGCGAAGAGGTAGAGGGGACGAAGGGGTTGTCTGCGCCTTGTCTGCCGGGAATCAATCACGTATCAGTGATGCTCAACCAGTGGCCACCTGCGAGACACGATCGATAGGATCGTGATACCTGCTTACAATGGCTCATCGATGGTATCCGCTGTTACTTCGAACCATAGAGTCACGACAGATCCGTGGATGGTACAATTTTGGTCCCGAGTCCGAGCGACGAGGAGGACGACGACGCTTCCGCGACGTTTCTCATCACGCGCGCGTGTATACATGCCACACATACACACACGCGTGACGAGGGATTCAAGAAAAAATTCTTGATATTCTCGCGATGTCGGTGTGTGTGTGTGTGTGTGTGTGTGGCCGAATGAGAAATACATTTGCATCTAAAGTGGATGGATGCCTTTTCACGGGCTCACGACGATTTACTTCCACGGGCAGCAATACGATCCTCTGATTACCGTTCCAGAAATGACGCGCGAGCGGAGGGCGATTAAAGCCGCGTGCCCTAATCTCCATGCTATACCGGCGCGAGAGCGAAGGGAAGGTAATGTCGTCGTACCTCGAGTACGCCCACGGCGACGTGGTACCTACGCCTCGCGCTACCGTCTTACCTGTCAGGGTAGGGTAATGTTAAATCGAGGGAACGCGAGTAGGAGCTACCGTCTTACGCCGAGCCGACCGTCCCGAAGAATCGCGACAAATTCATTTCGGCACGTCAACGGATTACATGTAGAATCCGGCGAATGCGTATCTGGACGTACAATAATTAATTATTGAAAAAGAAAAAGGTAATTCAATACTCTTTTTTTTTTAAAGAAGAATACTTCCAATACTTTAAGGAAGCGTGCATTTGCGATATTGTTGTTGTCTTTAACGGCCTTTCGGAAGGTCGAAGAAATGGAATCGAGGAGGCGTAATCGATCGAACCCCAATCTTTTTTGCCCCGAGGTATCTTTTCGCGGGATTCGAACAGGCGCATAAGAACCGGTCAACGTCTCATCGGGACGGAAACGCGCCGCGCCGCACCGCGCCATTATTCGTCGAACCCGGCGCAACGAGGAACGATCAAGAATCGTTGTTGAACAAAGCCGGAGAGCCCGCAAGAGAGAGGGAGAGAAAGAGAGAGAGAGAGAGAGAGAGAGAGAGAGAGAGAAAAAGAGAGAGAGAGAAAGAGAGAGGGGTCGTGCCAAAAGTGTCGAGAGCCGAGAGCGCCCAGCAGAAGATACAATGGCCGGACGCGCCGGTTCACAATGACGGAAAATAATTAAAGCGGGCAGGGGGGGAGAGAGAGAGAGAGAGAGAGAGCCCGTTCAAAGATGCCGACGCGGGGGTCTCGACCGATCAAACCGATCGAGCCTGTACGCTGTATCTGAGCGAACCTACGCGCACCACCCGTCACCGTGACGAATTCGCGCCCTCCTACACGTGTATCTAAGGTTGCGCGCGCGCGCGCACGCGCGTGTCCATCTCGTGTATATCGGTCCCGACACGAATTTGTGTGCGTGCATCACGGTGGATTGATTTCGTGTATGTCTGCGACATACTATTGGCGACAAAGAAACGGGACATTGGAATCCGGAAAAGAAGTCTTAAAGCGCGACGACCAGAATGAATGGTCTGACATGAAAGAGCGAGCGACAATGCCTACCTGCATTGTCGTAATACTTGTGGTTAACAACAAGTTGCCTCGGAATGCTCCGTGACACAATTTTAAAACAAGTACCAAGAGAAACTCTACAGTTTGAGGATCTGTCCGATAGCATATCGCGTTCTAAATTTTGTGCTAAATTTATTTTAGAATTAAAACTGTTTTGAAAAACATAAAATATTATATAATTTATTTCAGTACGTACATAATTTATTTTTCTTACATGCTTTATTTTTTATTAAGTTGTAACGATTTCTTTTGAGAATCGTAATGCCGTCAAAGTAAGATAAATGAGGACGCTGATGAATAACGAAACGTAAAGAGTGCAGTTTTTCCTTCTTATCAAATTTTTTCTACACGTTCGCATATATTCGCATTAATACTCATATATTATGCAAACGCGGGAGTCCGATGCAGCTCCCTGTATCTTTTTAGCGCCGTGACTCACTGTGAGAAATCGATAAACGATTCGTCTCGGGCGTTCGACTCGGCCGGCTACCGTCGGACTCCGCGCACAGTAGCTGACGAGACGATCGGACCCCCGCTTAGACCGTGTACTTTGAGTTTCGGGGGCCCGCCGTGCTCGGTGTGAAGCCCCCCGCTGTAGAATGATACGCCAGGATAATTCCATCGGACTCTGACCACGCCGGGGTTCCGCCACCTGGGGGACGGCGACGGTCAGCGCGTATTCTCATCGCGCCGCACTCGAAACGCGCGTGTCAACATTCACGAAAACGTACAACACGTTACAAACAATAATCTTTGTCAGTCATGCTATAAATGATTGCGGTATTCTTTGTTACAGTGATCTACCAGAAACGGTTAAAGAAGGAACGGAGAGCGAGGAAACGGCTGCAGGAGCAGTTGGATCTGGAGATCAAGAGGCGCACACAATTGGAGGAGGCCCTCAAAGCCACGGGCGCGTCCTCGGAGCAAGTCAGAGCAATTACCGGTACGTGCGAATCCGCGCCTTCTCTATCGAACTAATTTTCACACTGACAAATTTATATCATCGAGATTATAAAAAGTATCATTTACCTAAGCAGCTTATATTTAAAAGCTTAAAGAGAAATACTTGAATATATGCTCTGTTCTTCTCGCGCTGAAAACTCCTTGCTTAATATCTTGCTGTACGTCACGCTGAAAAGAAAAAAAACGTTTCGATTTTCGCGTAGATTAGAGACGCGAGATCGTTGCAAATGGACGGGTTTTCTCAGGATTTCGCGAGCTCGTCGTCAGTCTTCTCCGTTAAGAGCCCCGGGGCCAGCGGTGATCTCGGAATAAATTAATTAATACGCCGAGGCAGAGCAAACAGCCTGACACCCGGCAGAATATGATTCCTTACTTATCCCCCTGCCGGCGGTGCAATCCCTCTCCGTCGTCGGCTGGCTGATGGCAGCCTGTTTCTCCCCTCCCCCTCTCCTTCTGCTATCCCCCTTTCCTCCCCATTCCTCCCGTCGTCGTTCCAGCACCTTGACTAGGCACCGCGCGTCTCGCCCCATGATCCTCCGGCAAGTAGAAGTAGCAGCAACAAGCGGCACGCCACCCTTCTTCCTGTCACTACCAAAACTCAAACGCGAAACCCTTTAAGTGAAATCTCTTATTCCGATATAATGTTTCGTCCTTCACCTCTTACCTCCCCACCGTCTGTTCCACCTCATCGTTTTCGCGTTACCTCTTCCCCCCCGCCCTTCGTTGCTACCGCTACCTCCGTCGTCGCCGCTATCGTCGCCGCCGTCGCCGCCGCTGCTGTTGCTGATTAATCCTGTCAAATCCAGAGAGTCGCGATACTAATTTCAAATCAAACGGCACGTCACTCCGCCACTTGGGCGTCGGGGTGAGTCGCGAGACGGTCACGATCTCATGGACTAACTTAGAAGCTTCGTCTTTCTGCCGACGCTCAAATCTCTCGTCTAGTTCTGCTTGCACGTCACGTCGCGGAAAGATTTAGAGACGGAGACGGATTTTTTTTTTTTTAAACATCGCGATAATCGGGCGATTTGCTATCTTTCTATGACACAGAGAACGTAACGGCGGAGGCGCGCACGAGTTCGGAGCCGCCGGAGGCTAGCCCGGTACATTCTCAGTCGCAGCAGCAGTCGTCGCAGCAACAACCGCCGCAGCAACCCCTTCAGCAGCAACAGGCAGCGGCCCAGCAGTACCGGGAGGCGCAAGTGCCGCGTCCTTCCCAGCAACCGTCGACGCCGGAGAAACCCGCATGGGGATACGGGCTGGATCTCATCGGTAGCCAGGCGTCGGCCTTCTGGCAAAACTACCAAGGTCAGTTTCTCCCAACGGCACGCTACCCTCGTCGTACCCCGTTGCGTTCGGTTTCGCCGTCGATTCACAGTGTTCCCACGGTGTTCCCACGAAACCGCGCGCGCGGAAAAATAAACAGGGAATACTTAAGCCACTTATCGTTAACGGAGGATCGCGATAGCCATGTCGTTCCCGCCTCCGCTTCTTCCTCTTCTTCCCGATATCTCGAAACATCCCGACCGTGTCCCAGTACCGTCGTGTTTCCCGTCGTAGTTTCACACTGTCGAATTACATTACCTCGGCGAGATATTCTGAAAAGAATTCGAAGACGTCAAAGAGTTGCCTGACGGGAAAGAATAAAACCCGCCCAGGAAAGCTAGTCTGCTATCTACATTGTAAAGTTTACGGTAATTCGAGAAAGTAGCAGTCGCGTGTTAGGAACTTGAGGTCAAGGGAGAACGGGAAGGGGGGAAGGACGATCCGAAGATCCAGGCCCAGAGCCAGCGGCGGGATCCGCTAATTCGGATAATCGCATTCCCGTATTAGGATCCACTCAATTTTTCTGATCTTCCGGCCGAGTGCTTTCGATCCTCGATTACCCTGACAAAAAAAAATGAGAGAGAAAGAAGAAAAGAGAGGAGATTGACCCCGAGGGCGAGAGAGACGGTGAAGCGGACGGTGGTAGTATGTCGTGGTGGTATCGTGCAAAGTAAATTATTCGAAAGATCTCGAGCGAGAGCAATCACGCCGCCGGCAATAACAACCCCGTGCACGAAGAGGGTAGGAGGAGGGAGGGAGGGAGAGAGAGAGAGAGAAAGAGAGAGGGAGGGAGAATGAGAGGCAAGGAGTGGGGGAAGGAACCGAGCTGGTCCTGACGAGGAAACACGAGGTATTTGAATAGGGTCCCGTAGCCACCCGGGCATCATGATGCGGAATCCATTTGCAATAAACAACAGAGATTTAGACGGGGGTGACGCGGGAGAGGAGAGACAACGAGACGAGTCGAGCGGTAGCGCCAAGATGAGAAGAGGGGATGGGAGGGGTGACCATCGAGAGAGGGAACACGGGGAAAGAGGTGATTCGACGTAACGTCGTCTGAGGTGGGTACTTACGCCACTGAGGGGACCTCGGGGGCCGCCGCCGCGTCTTCGAGTCATGCATTCTATACGAACGATGGCTCTCATTCCTGTCACATTGTCATCGAAGGAATGTGTTTCTCGTGTTAGTTTTCAATGATCGAATAAATCTTCCCGTGTGCAGTTTGAAGGATCTGTCTAATCGTTAGAAAAGATGTCACGTATTAATATAATAGTACTCGTATATTAATTCTGCGACAGAATGTTTAGGGCGATTCTTCCCTTCAAGATCTGTCCCTTGTCGCCGTCCTCAGCCGATTCTAAATTCCGACCACCTAGTTCCGGCTATTAAACCCTTTTGTTTGTGAAAGAGCACCTGATGCTAACAGCATCGCGTTACATCCCCAACCTTTCCAATCGAGTGATTGCGATCTCGCGACCGTGTCATCTCGCATAACGTTCTCACATGAGCGCCACTGGCTGTAATGCAGAGTTTATGCACATCTCTCGCAAGTAAGGAAGGAGCCGTAATTTCCCCGGCGGCCAACGCGGCTCTCGGTGGCGTTACCTGTCCTCCCTTCCTTCTTCCACTCGCTCGTCGTTCCCTCCGCGCTTCCCTTAAACCTCCTCTCCAGCCTCCTGCGCTGCCTCTCCCGCCCTCCCTTACGTCGCGTTGCTCTCTCTCTCTGTCTCTCTCTTCCTTTCTCTCTCGCACATGCATACGAATACGCGCGTGCATACATGTACTTACATACGTATACGACGTGGTGTACGTGTACAAGTATGCACGACGCGCGATTCCTCCACGTCGTCCACCATCCGCAGAGTACGACGAAGCACTCCGCCACGCTTTAATATTCAGACTATATGCAATAATTTCGCAGCAACCATAACCCCCTCCCCCTCCTCGTACCCGTGCCCCTGTCCTACCTCCCTCCCGATTTCGCAACACTCTTGCTTTCTCCGTCTTTCTCTCTCTCTCTTTCTCCCGCTCCTTCCATCCTGCTTCTCAAACCACCGTCTTCAGCTTCGCCGTCTCTATCGTTTATTTCCTCCCCCTCCCCCTTACTTCCCCTTGCCTAACTCCCCTGTTTCTTCCCCCTTCCTATCCTACCCGACCGTGTTTCTTCCACCGCATGAAGAGACGTGGCACGTACGAACACACCCACACCGAGACTTTGCGAGATTGCTCCACGGTGTGGTGCACTGTACCTCCATCTTCCACCCTGCGACCGCAATCACTCTAAATCGCCGCGCGGGCATTAATATTTGATGGACGAAGTCCTTGGGAATTATTCGAAATGCGAATAATCGCGATCGAGGCATCGAGGCGCGCCGGTATCATTTTTCATCGATGTCTCGTGAGATCAGCATCAGCATACGGCTCACGGCTTTAACGTCGTTAAACGCTAAACCCTTTTAGTCTTTACACGCCGCGCTCGGGCGCTTCCACGAATGAATTAACCTTGAATACCGTGCGGTCTACAAACTGAAAAAGGGAGAAAAATGAAAGTCAAACGTTGTCGAGAAGTAAAAAGTTTTAAGCTTCAGTCCCGCAAATCAAGCGTATCGCCTCGGGAGGAAAAATGACGACGACGATGACGACGACGACGACGGACGGGCTCCGTTGAAGGCGCGCGCGCGCGCGCGCGCCGGATTATTTCCAGCTTTCCAACCGCCCACGCGGCCGAGAAAATGCGAGCGTCGCACCTGCGTGCGTACACGTGCGTAGACCATTACCGCGGAGAGACAATAACCCCGCGAAAGAGTGATAAAGCGTGACGCGTGTGTACGGGCGATATAAAGGCCGAAGGAAGCCGACGCGCCGACGTGGGCGGCGGAGGTAGGGCGGAAGGCTTGGAAACATCCCCCGTCCTGAATATATCCACAGGGCACACGACGACGTGGTTTTCCGGCGAACAAGCCGGGACAGGAGAAATCGGACGGGGAAGACAGGAGGGAAAAGGAGTGGAAGGGGAGGGGGAGGGTGAGAGAGAGGGAGAGAGCAGCAGAAAGGTAGAGTTTCGATCTAAACGCGATGGTAGCTCGCGTGGTTGCAAGCTGACGGTGAGGTAGGTGTTGTCAGGAATATTGGGGTTGTTCCAAGATCCCCCCCTCCCCTCCACAGTTCGGCCGGGGCGTTTTCTTCCGCTTCCTTACATGTCTTGAAGAATGACGAATAACAAATCTCGAGTAACGATATCTCAGGTATGCTTTGGACGCATATTTCTTTTTTTTTAATTGCTGCAGTGCGTGAATGTTGCTTGAATGTTTACGACAAAGAGACGAATCGAATAACGGCCGATGTTGTTTTCGGAGACCCTTAAGTTCACTATGAGTACACATGAGAGGGAGAGAGAGAGAGAGAGAGAGGGGTCTACCCCCCGACTTATGATTTTGCGTCGCCGCGGGCGCCGATTGGAAAGGCGCGCGGATTGCGAGGGGATTAAATTCGTTACTGGAGAGCTTTGACGCGAATGGCATACGGAAGAGAGAGATTTTTATGCGGCCGGGAGAAAGAACAATTACCGAACGAGACTCATCGATCGTCCTAGGGGATATCGTCTCTGTTCTTTTTATTTTTAAATAATATTGACGACACTGCTGAGACAGACTACATCGACAAGTGCACGATTGAATCACAAATTGCCGACGTATTTGTATTTTCTCGAAAGGATTTCAAACTGGTGCAGAACGTCTTATTGTTAGTACGGCATTACAATTTCACGATAGAGTAGAGAACAGAGTACGAGGAGAGAGAGAGAGAGGAAAGGAAGGAAAAAAATGAAGAGACGGATCGAGGATGGTGGATGATCGCAGTTAACGGAAATTTAAAATTATAAGATTCGCGCGATTCGAAAGCGAGGGCGAAAGGCCCGGGCACCGGAGATTCATCCTCGTTTCTCTCCTCCCGCATCCTATCTCCACCCAGTTCCTCGGCTTTTTGTGTCTCCGCGCTCTACTCCATGCGGCTCCTTGATTCATACAATTTCATGGTCGGCTTGGCGCTCAAGCGCCTATCCCCACACCTATTCGCATCTTCCGTTCACCCCCTCCTTCATATATTTCGCTTTCCGGCCCTCTGCTTTCCGCTCGCTGTTGCTGCTGCTGCTGCTGCTGCTACTGTACTGCTCCTCTCCGCCTTTCGAACCTCGTCTGCTTTACATAAAGATCAGAGCATTAAAAACGCGATGCTACACGAAATCAACCCTCTAGATGCTCCCGCGCCTCGCCCCCTCCGCCCTTCATCTTTTTATCTTCGTTCCGCGCCCTATATCCCTTTTTGCTCGCGAACGTCACTAACTCTCGGCTCTTTGGAGAATCTCGAGTGAGCAAGAGCATTCAGCCAATTACCGTCGTTTCGATGTGATACTTAAATTGCTTTTTTCACCGTTCGCGCAAGAACGAAACATGTCGAGTGCACTCATCACGTTGACGATTATATCCGATATCCGGCGCCGCCGCGGCAAATCCGGTTAAATTCCAAGGCCGTCATTCACGGCAGGTTCACGCGATGGAAGCTTCTCGGCTGTGTAATCGCAAAAAACTCCGGCGAAATGAGGAGCGCGAGCTCGTCTGGCGAGAGGTGCTTATCAATCGCGAGTTATTGGTCGCCTTCGTGGAATTCATCTCGTCGGATCGGAGGTTTTAAGGGGAGTATAATAATGAAATTCGCGTACGAGAGCGAAGGTGTATTCTCCGATCCCGGGCGAACAATGCGCGGGAGTTTTTCCAGTTCTTGCGAGACCCCCGACTTGCGCGACCGCGCCTTCCCTCGCATTCTCTCGCCCCGTCCTCGGTTTCGATTCGGTTCGTTTTCTTCTTCTACCCGTGAGGCAAGGTGGCCTCTCTCCTCGCGGCCGGGCATTGTGCCGGAGTTAATTACGTGCGGATAAATGCGGAGTCATAGAGGGGCAAACCACCGGGGCCCCTCTTCTTTTTCAGCGGACGTCTTTTTTAGGGCGGAGGGGGGGCCCTCGCCTCGCGCCGCGCCGCCACCCCCTCCAAAAAGCCAGGGCGATATGGCGCGCGATGCGATGGCACACAATGCCAACCGTTTAGGGCCCCGGTCGAAGGGGCCCCCGTATACGTCGGCCACGGCCTGAAATTGTTTTCATTGTCCGGACGATTTGTCAGGGTGTGTAAGACGGTAGCGAAACTATTAGCGCCTCATTCTTCTTGGACTCTCGAGATGCGCTGTCTGCAGAATTCCACGGGATCGAGCGACGAGCTCTCTTCTTTCTTCATTCGATACGCTACGCACGCAACGATACCCGCGAGAAATCGCGAATCTGGATTTCCAAGTCGTCGTCGCCGTGCACATCACTTTCTTACGGTCGAACCGGACCGGCGGACAATATGACGATGGCGAATGTCCGTCAAGTTATTATTAGAATGGAAAAAAAAACGAGGGAGAGGCGAGAGAATCCCCTAAAAAAAAAAGAGAAAAGAAGTACACGTACAATCAATCAAATCGCTTTTTCGTGGCTCTTTATCTCGGCTCGATACAACAAAAGGGTGTGTTCTCGACCGTTCCGAATGAGGCAAGAAAGTTTCCTTAAATCGGGCCTTCGCCTCGAGATGCCTCTTCTTCCCTTTCTCTCTATCTTACCCTCACCCTTCTCCGTGAGAGACTCGCCGAGCGGGCGAGCGTTTATATCTGGAGCAGTTAAATTGTCATTTGGATATCAAAGGGACGCGACACCCCGCGCGCGGATAAGGGCGCGAGAGGTAATTTGGCTCAGCGAAACGCAAACATTGCTCTCCGTGTGCCCCAAAGTCGTGGAATATAACGGCCCTGACGAACGCACGAATTCACACCCACGTGCCACGAAACAGCCCTCAGCTATTGTTGCTCAAAGCATAATGGAATCTCGGCCCCGCCGTCTCTAGTCCCGGCAATAAAGATGGAGCGGGATAGAAAGCGGGGAATGGGGAGTACGCGGGACAGAGAGCGTCGTCGATGCCGACTCCTCTCGCACGTCCGCGCGCACGCCGGTTAACCGGGACTTAATGGCCTCGCAATTGGATTTTACCATTGCTCTTTGCTCAAGGAGGCGCCATTTCACGCTTACCGATCAGATCCGCGTCCTTTCGTCGCACGTGCGCGCGCGCTGTATAATGCTCTTTACGATCCTTCTACTTAATTCTTTGCAGCTTATGCGATTTTCGATTCTAAATGAAAATAAATATATGTAAAAATTCCTTTCCTTTTTAATTGTGATATCAGTCAAATACTGTCGCAATCAAATTTTTAATTCGTCAAAATCAAGTTCAATTAATTAATCACAAAAATTAAAATTTTCAATTTGTCTTGATATAATTAATTGTTTTCCGAAGAAAACCGCATAATTTCGTAAACGTCATCCGTTTACATAAATCGCTCGAAAGGACAGGAGCGAGACGCGTGTGCCCGGTTAATTCGGCGCGATATCATTAAAGGGACATTTTCCAGTTTTCACCCTAATCCTTGCGAAATTCAGTGAGCAAACCCGCGGCCCTTTCACGCCTGCCTTCGTCCGTTATCCCGCTCGTCCCTTTTCCATCCCCCTTTTGCGCGCGGCTGACGGTAGCTGCCGGTTTTGCACTAATTACCGCTTCGTTTCATCCTTCGCGCGCGTGGTTCACGCCTCGTCGAATCCGCGCGTCGTTCCCGCCGTCCGTGCGCGTTGCGAGCCGACGGACTTCTCTCCTCGAGGCGATTCCTTCAACGCTGTCGAGGCAGCGGAGCGCGTTATCCGAACGCCGATATTAATCTTAAGCCGAGAACGCTAGTGAGACTACATTATGCGCGTTGATTACATAGCGGAACAGTATTGTATTATGTAGGCTATATTGTAAATGCCATATTATAAATGCTTTGCCACACACAACACACATTATACACACGTACACCCTGTCGTTTTGTTGTTCAGTTGTCTGTCAATTTCGTATGCTTTTTTTGTCGCAGAATCGCTGGTGCAGGAACTCGAGCTGGAGAGAAAATCGCGGCAGCACCAAGCGGCCGAGAGGGACCAAGTAAAGTCTCCTCTTCAAGGTGTGTTGAGTAAAAACACGTGATTACTTTCGCGCGTGCGTACTTCATAGAATTTAAAATCGTTTTATTTTATATGTATATTTCTTTTTATTTTGCCTACGCAATAATCGGCATTTTTACGAATATGATAGTGTACTCGTATACTGGAAAAGCTCCTCTCTCTCAAATTCTCGCATTCGGAAAGCGCAGTTTTCGTGCAGTACGCGTAGAGCGATTTCTTGTTATACGGAATAAAGTTCGGATCTTTAATTAGAAACTCTTCAGGGGCGGTCGCGTCTCGGGGGAGGGTGCAGGGCGAGGCGGCGGTTCTTGCAAAGGCGTCAGCGGCATAGCCCCGGCATATTCGAAACTTGGCCTCGCTCTCCTCCGTGGAAACTTGTCCGAAGGAAGTTTCCAACTCGCGCAAAAACTATATCCGTAGCGCGATTTCGATGCTCCAAGGCCCCGGCCGGCGTGACGTTGCACGTAAATAATCGTTTTTCGCCCGCCCGCCCACCCTCTCGGGGGGCTCCCGAAAGGAATTAACAAGTCTGCTCTTAATTGGCAACGTCCTTGCAAAATCAACTCCCACATCTTGGCCCGGAGCTTTTTATCGGCGGTAATGTTACTCACAGATCTATCGCAAGAAGAATGAAAGTGGCAAAGTAGCATTTCCGCAGAAGCGCGCATTACCAACTTTGTTTTTATTAAGAAATTTAACAATTTAAGGTATCTTGTACAACAATAATGTTGTCGCTAAAACTCGATCGTCCAAGCTTTCTTTTTTTTTTTTCGCTGAATAATTGGAATTGGCCACTGAAAAAAGAATAAAAATATCATTAAAACACGCACGTTGATTCAAACAAAACGACGTGTCCTGAGAGGGCCAGGTCGGGGCAGATTGAAGCGGCCCGGACGATAGTGGGCGCGGAGAGACGAGTAAACCGAATCACGCGGACTATTAACGTATAGTGATTTTCAATCATAAGCGACAGTTCGATAAAAAGTAGAGTGGCGGCTCGATCACAAAGGCCGCGCTAAGGCCGATGACTCGGCCGGACTCGTATTTACGAACGTGTGCGTACACGATATAGGGTCCGACTCCCAACTTGCCCCTCACCCTCGCCCCCTCGATTCCCTTTCGCCCTTTTTCTCGACTCTCGGTTCGTCCATCTCTTCATCCACCTCGCGCGTTCTCCTCTCCCTCCCCCCCTCCCCGCGTTCATCTGCGTCTCGAGAGCCAACGATAATTAGTGAGCGGCGCCTTCTTCACAACGGAACGATCATCGAATGACCCAGCTGGTCCACCTTCACTGTATCGCGCCGCAGCGTAAGGCACCTTACCGCCGAATCCTCCGACCCTCCATCCCGTAGCGGAATTACGCCCACGACCATTCATCTCCCGTATGCATCTTCATCCGCGAGACATCCGCTCCTCTCTCGTATTCCCATTAAGAGTCCGCGACACGCCTAACACTCATGCTACACCGGCGCTGTAAGATCTAAATTTAGCGCTCAATACGCCTGCCCCCTTTCTCATTCCGCGCCGTTATTACACGCGCGGGCGCGATGCTTCATATTCCGATATAAGTAAAAAACCCGACAGCCGCGTGCAACGCGGCGCACAAGTACGTAAAGTATCAGACGAACACGGACTCCAGAGTGCACCTGCGATTCCGTTTCTGTTTCAGAGTCGCGGACGGGTTACTACAAGAACTCCGTTCTGTTTACGAGCGCGACCTAGAAGAGGCCGGACGACGGCAGGCGGGGGCAGCAGACAGATCGTGCAGCGAGCAGCCGAAGCGAGTGATCGAAACGGATCGAAACGGAGAGCAGAAAGCGCCAATTCGTAGCCACGAGAGCGGACTCACACAACGAGAAGCGAACGTGAAGAGACGGAATCTAGATGGTCGACCGCGAGAAGAAACGTACGGATTCGACGGGGAAGAGCGAAACTCCGAGTGATGATCTCGCGCGAGTGTCCGCGAGGACTTGTGCACAGCTTGGCGAACTGAGTGCGAATACAGAGATTACCGGAGGGCTCCACGACAGTATCTTATCGTCGGGAGATTAAGTAAGTTCCGAATCAGAATACGTACGAGCGAGCGCTATGCTATGACGGTAGACTCGATTTCGACGAACGAGCAAAAGCGAATGCGCGGCTGTTCACGCGCTATTTTGTACAGAGCTGCGATCGGCCGCGTTTTCCAACGCTCGTAGGGAAAACTCACGGGGTGAAGGGCGAGTAGAGATGTAAAACGGGGCCCTCGAATCGAGATCGGTCCGGTCGGAGTTTGCGACGGGGACGGGAACCGATCCCGCACACATATCAACGACGCGATATTCGCCGATCTCCCGATTCGCGTTCGCGGCGGTCGTGGGGTCACGTCGTACGTTCGACGACGACGGCGGTATTATACCCCGAAAGGAGATATTCTCTAAATGTACGCACCATCGATTATTAAACCCGTGTTGGATGATGACCGAACAATTGCGTGACTCTCGCGGTACCGAGACGATCGCGGACAGTGGTGGGCGGGACGAACGAAAATCGGGAACGGGAGGAGAGAGTAATATAGAGGCGGACGAGAGAGAGAGAGGGGGAGATATATAAGAGAGGCATATTTCTAAAGACTGCTGGAGAGTGCGTGCGTGAGTGCATGCGTTCCTAGAGGTACCTATCTCCTAATTATCGAGCGAATTAATTAGATAATCGTTTTTAAGGGACTCCAGGCGATCAGGCCGCGCCACGCCGTCGTCGCGCGCATCGTGAGGCGCGCCGATTTCGAGTATTATTATCATTATTAATATTATTATACATATACGTCGCCGCGGCGGCGCAGAGGCCCGGCCCGATCGCCAAACTGCGAAACGAATGTCGAGTCGCGGGCCCTCTCGTCGCGACCGGCCCATTCGATATTCCGGTATAATCGGCGTCTTCGGCGGCGCCGATCGTTGCGTACCGATGTCGCGACGATTTCTCTCGAGAATGCCGTCTCTCTCGCCGGGCACGTCGTCGCAGCGCCGAGAAAGGCGCCGGCTTTTTGTAAAATGCGCGTAAGCGCGCGAAAATTGACGAGCGAGTCTCTTCTGGATTCGACGCGGAAAACGAGATTAGAGCCGCGACTCGAGCGCTGTATCATAGAAAAACGAGAAAGGGAGTGAGGGAGAGGATGAAAGAGAGAGAAAGAGTAAGTATAACACGACGAGAAAACGAGCGAGTGAATGAAAGAAAAGAGCGATCGACAGATATATAGAAAGAGAGAGAGATCGTGAGGAAGGAAAAGAGAGGGAGAAAACCAGAGCGGAAGTGAGTCTTACACGAGTATGCGCATATGTATGTGTGTATATGTATGGGTGGGTGGGTGGGTGTGCGTGTATGTATGGTAAAAAAAAACGGAAACAACGGAGGATTCTCTCCTAGCGTCTTAAATCGTAACACCTTATTTATATAAATAACTTAGTTACTACCGAAACAAGTAAGTCTAATCCATATTGCGTGTGTCCCGCGTTTGCGTTGACCGCCCGAGAAAATCCGGCGAAATATCTCTTGGCGTGTGCGAAAACAGACGGAGGAAAAGCGACGAAGAGGAATACGACAAAGCGGAAGAGGGATACTTGGACAATCCCGTAAGAGACGCGTGCGCGCGTCCGATACCAAGCGCCGAAGGCGTCAAGGATATTTCCCCGGGGACGGTCCCCGTATTTAAGATCCATGTACAAAGTCTTTTGCCGTAAGGTTCTTGTGTTGTAAAGTTCACATAATCATAGTGTCTAGTATCGTACCAGCTAAAGCCCGTTAAGACGATGCTAAACGTAGAGAAACGAAAATTTAACCACCGATAGCTGATCCGTATTTGCCATCGCCGCTACCGATTGACGGAGGGAGAGGAGTGGGAGGGACGAGGTTGGGTGCCGAGAGGGTTGACACGAAGGGTGTTTCAGGTAATGTTTTTCACGATCGAGAACCGTAGGAATTGACTTTCTCGTCAGTAATGCCGATCTCAAGGAAGACTTTGGCCGACGCCAAATAGTACAAATTAAATCTCGACTGAGATTGACACGGAGCGACAGATTGAACCGATTTCTCACGCGAGACAAGCAACATTGACGGCTATCGATATACAATCATGCAAAAATCTTCCACCGTAGATGAGACCCCGAGAAGAATAGCGAGTATATTTCAAATCGTTTGGTTTCCGGTGCAACAAAATGAACGTCGAAATGATCGTCAAACTTGCGGCTCTCGCTCGAGAAAAATGATACCGAATTAGGTGAGGATGAAGGTGCGCCAAGAAGAGATGTGCGAGACGTATGCGGAGCGGGGTTGGGAATGAGGAGAGAGGGGAGGGAGGGACTTTGTCGTCGCCACACACGCGAGTCACGGCGACGGTGACTAGTGACGCCGATTTCGCGAACCGGACTTATACAATCTAGTATCGAGGCAAGAAGTGTATTCATTGTAATTCAGCATTATTACCTATAAATAAATAGTTGTTATTGTAAGTGGGATTTTCTTTCACTTCGATATCCACCACGCGACGTCCTTTCTTCGACGTCTCGGAAGAGACGTCCTCCCTCCTATCTTACAATCTACATTTTATTTTCATACGTTACACCTGCATATTAGTCTGTGTGCGTCTCAAGAAATATAAGGTGTTTTCGCTCTTCCCCTAAACTCCTTGCACCTGAGAAAAGAATTTTTCCGCGGTTATAATGGATCCAGACTCTCCTCTCCCCCCCCCCCTCTCTCTCTCTCTCCTCTCTCACTCCGTTTTTCAGCTCGCCGAAGCGCGTAAAGCGTACACGTGTTTCCCACTTCGTACACGCATGTCAGATCTTTTCTAGGGAATAGGCAAATTGCACGGCCCTTAAGGATGACGACAAGAGCGGCGCGATAAGGCGATCGCACTGGTGGGTGCGAATAAAAATGTATTCCGCGTCCGACATTTTCGCTCGAACGGCGGAGCGGCAGAAGGCTAATGAAGGGCCGAAGGGTATGGCGATGTATTCTTATCAATTTGCAGGTTCCGTAACGACCCGAGGCACGCGACGAGAGCCCATTGGTCGAGACAGGCTCCACCCTTTCGGCGCGAGGAATATATTTTAATAGTAAATATAACGATAATATACATCATACACGAGCACGCTTCGCCGAGCCAGCAGACACAGAAGGTACCTTAATTGAATCAGTCATACAGCGAGATTGCCACGTCGATGTCTTAATTGTTCATTCCCGCGCGTTAATTAGACGTTTTCATTTCATTGTCGATGCTGAGCGGAGCTGGTACAGCGTCCGAGTAGAATCGAGGCGAATCGTGCCGGAGCTAAAACTCGAGGCTAATTGTAGGGAATACCCAATTAGGGACAGTAATTAATACTCTGATCGATCAATTAGTTCCGAATGTGAAGTAACTCGCAGATACGATTTGCTTGTGCACCAGTTTCACGTTATTTTTTATTCGTAAAAGCAACTGGTCAATGTGGAAAAATGTACAATAACATGGGGTTCTCATACGTCTTTTTACATACTCATATCTTGTATATTTTTTTTTTCTATATAATTTAGCTCGATTGAAAATACGCGACCGCAGGAACGCAATAATTCGAGTACATATTTCACCGCTGCTGAAATTACGACGTTGATCACAATGCGTCGTCGCATTCGCGCGTAAGAAGGCAAAGCCAGAGGGCCACGTTTCGATGCAAATGAAGGGCTTGACTCTTGTCGCCGAGGATTGACGAGCCTTTCCCTCCCCTTGGGTTCCTGGTTCCGCCGTGTTTCTCTCTCCCTTGCCGTCCTACGACGACGACGACGACGACGACAACGACCGACCGACCCGAAATCATAAAGATAACCGAATTGCTCCGGCCCGGTACTTTTATTCCGAGGACATATTGCCCGACAATCATTTCGGCATTTGCATAATTATCGAATAAAACGGGACTGCGCGCGAGAGAGCGGGGGCCGAGACCCCGGGGCGCGCGTCTAACGCTCTCCTTCGCCGCGAGTACGACTAATTTCGTGCTCTCGAACTTTTTTTTCGAGCCCGAAGGGTCGTGAACCCCTCTTTCACCCCTCGACCGCGCGCTCCTTCGCGTTTTAGCGTCTTTATCTCCGACCCCTCTCTCTGTCATTCCTCCCCCGCGAGAAACACGCTTGCCTATCTTCTTGTCGCGAGTGATTAGGCTTAATTCGTTCGGTAGAAAAATGGCGGAGTCTCCTAATTAGAACGAGCAACATTCTCTCCACAACTCGTGTTGTTCCACTTGTGTACGGTTGTTTTTTTTTCTTTGGCAAGGATGCTATTGCAAGCAGCATACAACAAAAATAAAATATCATCATGCAGGTATTTGCCTCAGAATCGTACATTTAATTAAAAATAATAAAATAAAAAGTAATAAATTTTATAAACTAGTAGGCATTTTAGAGATCTTTCATTGTATAATAGTGAACTAAATGAACTAAATAGCAGAACTAAATGCAATTTTTACACGTCCAACTTTCCGTAATTGTCGAGAGACGAAATAACGTTCCGTAAACAAACTCATAATTATACGGCGCAGAAGAAAATAATGATAATTAGATTACTGTGGTTCTATATTAAGCAATCTTCTTCAATGAAAGTTTGAAGGACCGTAAAAAAGAGTTTTTCATCATCAAAATTCTTTGCCAACGCGCAACAGCCTGCGGAATCAGGGGAATATTTTTCAGCAATACGGCGCTGTTAATTTTAATTAAAACTTCATCCGCACGAAAAATACGGGACTCCCATGAGATTTCTCGCGGCTGTATTCTAGC